CGCGTACTTTTATTGTTGATAACTCCCACGCAATATTTTATGTATAAGCAATATCTATGCAGGTTATGCAGAAAAAATCATGATTGATTCATTTAGCATCAAACTTTCATAGAATTTTGAATAATATTAAAAATACCGCCAATATGTCATTGATAGAATTAACCAAGCAGGCACATAAACATTGAACAACGTTGTATTATGGTCAGATTTCAACGTTGAAATAACGTTGGATTTATGTTCGAATTTGAAAGTTTAAAAAACGTTGAAATTCAACGTTGGCACAACGTTGATATTTCAATGTCATTTCAACATACTTTAATACTTTAATTCTAATATAACGCAAAGTACTGTAACAGAGTTTAACAAAAAAAATCAAGACACTATTAATTACTTCAGCTCTTTTATTTCAAAAATACAGTTCAAGTTAAGCTTAAATTCAAACGATTTAAGAAGTCCTTTTAGTTTAATAATAAAGCTACAATTTATTCCAATCTACCACTAGTACTTCTTTTAGATCTCACTAGGTATGTCTTAAGTGTTTCATTATGGTGTTTGAATACTTCTACTGCTTCTGCAAATAAAGAAGAAGTTACTAGTTAAAATTGACTTGGTCAATCTCAAATTATATCTATATAATTAATCAACTTAGTGATTTGTTTTATCTTAAAATGCTTATCTCTAAGATTTACATAATAAAACAGCATATAAATTAAGATACAACTGAAGTTGCATATTGACAGCAAATTTTGTACATAGGCTCTATCTAAGACCATTGTAAACAGCATCTTGTAAACAACAAATATGTAAATTTTATATTAATAACGTTACAAAAGTATTCTGAAAAATAATATATTATTAAGACAAGATAAATATCCAGTAGATGAAATATTTATACTTTGTAAAGAAATATAAAATATATATATATTAAATATAAGAATTTCAATTTAACAAACCTGACAGTCCTTTTCATGTTAAATTTATGGTATACAAGCTACAGCTGCAATATTCTAAATTTCAGCCAGGACCAGGATCTAGAATATAAAAATAGATCTATTATTCCCTATAAATTCACGGCAATTAAACTTAAAATTTAACACTCAACTTTATTATTTAACCTCAAACAGTTTAATCAATATTTGTTTTGATAATGCAATGGATATAATGTTTTTTTTTCAAACTAATTCACACTTAATTTTAGTATCACTAAGATATAAATACAGCTAGATTTACGAATCGTCTTGGGGCGTAAATTATATGGGCCGAACAACACTTTATCTGCTTATAGGTTACAATAATATGATAAAAAAATGTAAAATCATAAATTGCCAAGGGCATCAATAACTTTGCGTAAGGCCTACCAAACCCAAATCGTTCAATTAGGTCGCGTTTTGATGCAAAAGTCTAAAATATTAGAAGTAGGTTTTGTATTTCTCTTTTAATTAGTATAATTACAGCTATCATTTTTCATATTTTGCAGATATGGAAGGTTCCATCTCGGATATTGTTTGTGATAAATGTAGTAACATTTCATTCACGGATAATTTTCAATTATTAACCACATTAACAGTCTACACGGCACAGGACTTTATAAATGTTGTGGTAAAACATTTTATAGCCCAGCAAATCGGAAACGTTACGGGTTTCACTGTTAATATTAAGATGCATTCAAACATAAGTCATCTAGATTTTATTACCTAGTTTGAAAAAAAAGACCCATTCTAATATTCTTTAGGTTGTTTTCGTTTTTGCTTTAGATTAAAAAAAACCCACAACATAATAATGTTAAACACAGACACTAATTTGAAAAATAATTGGTTACATAAAAGACTAAGTGATAAAATGATTTGAATGTCTTTAAAATCTTAATATTACGAATAACAGTAAAATGCCATACCTGTGACGTTTCGATTTGCCACAACATTTACAAGCTTAAGGTCCTGTGCCGAGTGCCAGTTTATGTGGTCTTTAAGACAAATGTTATCCAACATTATCCACAAACAATATCCGAGCTGGAACCGTCCATATCTGCAAACTATGAAAAATGACAACTGTAATTGTGCTTAAACTGAAATCGACCTCCTTCTTATATTTGAGACTTATATTTTAATTTCTGCGATTAATTCATCTATATCGAAACTTCATTTAATATATTCATGTGAGTGTGTATTCTGCTATCCATAGGGGCTTAATTCTATCCAGGACTTTTTGGCGGTATTTTTAATATTATTCAAAATTCAATGAATGTTTAAGGCTAAATGCATCAATCATGATTTTGTTCAGTCAATATCTAGGCTATAATCTACATAGATATTGCTTGCACATATATTGTGTGGGAGTTATCAACAATAAAAGTACGCATGGGAGTTACCCAAATCATTTTTCTCTCGTGTATTGGAATAGAAATTGGCCAGTCAACATTTAACATGCCTAATATTTACATTTTCAAATAAAGAAATTCTATGGACATTTTCTCTTTGCTAACGCGACGTAGTTTAATCAAATTCATACAAAATACAAATTTGCGTGAATGTTACCCGAAAAATAATTGTGAACATTGAAAATTTCTGTTGAATTTTTGAGTGTTTGTAAAAGCTATGAGCACAGGGGTGGAAAATAAGGTATAGGCGGCAACAATTCTTTATTCCGCGTAGGCTGCAACAGGTCTAGTATGTAAGTAAAGGGATATAATAAAGAATTACCTGAAAACCACATGTGAAGCGAGGTTTTTAGGCCGCCATATTGTCTGTACGCGTAACCGAAAAAGTCACGTGATTCCCTACCGTGGATATAAAATGTTTATTTTGGAATATCGAGGGATTAATCCAACAGAAAATAGCATGCCACGATTTTATAAAATTCATTGATAAGTATTTTGATTTTTTTAAACGAAACATGGACAAGTAAAAATTCTAAAATAAACTTAAATGGTTTTAAATTGTTTCATTCATACAGGAAACTTCAAAATAAATGAGCGAAAAGAAATAGTGGAGGAATTTTGAATTATGTTAAAAACTCAATTATTAAAGGAGTTAAATTAGTGAAAAATGACGTTGATTGTATACAGTGGTTCAAATTAGATGCATCATTTTTTAACATTGAGAGTCATATGTTTCTTTGTTCTACTTATATAGCCCCTGAAAACTCGCATATACACAATATTTATGAATTTGATATATTCTCAAGGATAAAGGTCAGTTGTATGTATTTGGCGATCTAAACTCACGAATTGGTAAAAAATGGACTTTATAGAAAATGATTCACAGTTACGAGATATAACAGATTTTTCATTGGACGAGTATTTACCAAGTGCAACGACTGATCAAGGATCAAATCGCTTTGCGATCTTTTGTTAGATTTATGTAAAGCATTAAACTTTCGTGTAGTGGATGGCCGTATTAGTAAAGATGCTAATTTGGGTCATTGCACATGCTATACACATAATGGTGAAAGTCTTGTTGATTTACTGATAACTGATAAATGTAATTTTTGTAATATTTCCTATTTCAATGTAAAGGATTTTACGATGGATTCCAATCACGCGCCTGTATCATTTTCACTACGTGCGAATAGAGTATTACATGACAAGAAAAATTACGAGCGTGTTTTTCATAAATTGAACCCTGAGTTTAAAAATGACTTCTTGAGTGAAATTTCACGCGACGTAGATGAATTATGTTTTAATTTAAACGCGTACAAAGACAGCGGCCAAAGTACGGATTCTTTGGTCAATCTTGTATCTGAATTTATTACTAGCAGAGGAAATAAGTATTTTGAAATACATCGTGAAATGCCTAATAAACCATACTTTAATGAATGTCATATTTTGCTTACTAATAAAAATAATTGGTTTAGTGATCTCTGTAGGAGCAAAAAAGAAAGCTATAAAGAAGCACTTTCACAATTTAATCAAGAGAAAAGTTAGGAAAATAAACAAGTTTTGTATAGTAAGAAAAAAAATTATAAATACTGCTGTAAAGTGGCCAAACAAAAATCAAAAATACTTAAAAAAGTATGTCATTAAAAATGGAGGAAATAAAAGATAAAAAACAAAAGAATTCTGGAAAATGTTTAAATAAAAAAAAAAGAATTCTACCAGTGGCGAATCTATTGACATAAATGATTTCTATGAACATTTTAAAGAATTCACCTCAGAATTAAAATTTGATGAGGATGTAGATTGTATAATTTTTTTAAATGATTTTGATTCTTATGTGTCTGCTGACTAATCGTTTGAAGAATTAAATGAAGCGTTTACTTACTAGATGAAATAAGGCGTGCGATATAATTGTTAGGCAGGGATAAAGCATGTTCGTTAGAAATTATTTTTATGAGTATTTAGAAGGTATTGATATTTTAGATAAACCGTTAGAAATCTTATTAAATTATATTCTAGATAAAGGTGTCATAATACCTGTATTCAAAAAGGGAGATAATGCTGATGTAAATAATTATAGAGGTATTACGCTTATAAGCTGTTTTGCTAAATTATTCACTATTGTTATAAATGAAAGATAAAAGAAATGGCCTATTGCGAATGATATTGTTATTGACGCACAGTTTGGTTTTAAAGCTAATTATAGCACTGTAGATGCAATATTTTTATTGAATTCCTTTATCGAAAAACAATTGAAAAATAGATCTAAACTGTACTGTTGTTTTATTGATCTTCAAAAGTGTTTTGATTCATTATACAGGAATGGCCTTTTGGTTAAACATATTAAAATGGAGATTAGTGGTAGATTGTTTAATGTTGTACGGTCACTTTATAATGATGTTAAATTCTGTGTTAAACATTTGAATCAGTTATCCGATGTGTACGATTGTGATATAGGATCATTGCAAGGGGAGATAATGTCCCCTCTGCTCTTTTCTAAAAGAATTTCAACTTCGGGCTATTGATCACGTGACATAAAAGTCTAATATGTTTACTTATTACACATTTACAGTGTCATTCTTTTGTGAACAATACATTGGATCAAAGCAAAATTCATGTAGAAAACATGTCAGAAAAAGGAAATGAACAACACACAAAAACACGGAAAGGAAAGGTAAGTTCACTGACTAATTATAATAAGATAATGAAACTTAACATGACTTTCTGGAAACAGCAAATAATTAATATTACGCTTATGGCTTACTGAATTATAATTTGTAGTTTGATATGAAATATGCAAAATTGATTTATTGCAAATCAAACTAACTGGACTTCTAAAGTTAAGCAATTGTTACAAGAAACAAGATTTAATGGTGTTTGGTTATTTCCCGAATCTGTAAATGTTAATATTTTTATTCCAATACTTAGAACAAGACTTATAGATATCTATGTCAGTAACTGGAGACAAGATGTAAATAATAAAAGCTCACTCTCTTTGTTTAAAGAATTAACAAATAACTTTGAATTATCAAATTCTTTAAATAAAATGTTTTGCACAAAATTGAGAAATACAATAGCTTTACTAATATTGTCTTCACACCGTTTAAATATAGAGACTTGCAGACATAGAAACATTGTGAGATCGAAAAGAAAATGTACATTTTGCAACCTAAACGACATAGAAGATGAATACCCTTTTGTTTTAATTTGTCCTATTTATTCAGATTTAAGAAAATTGTATAAACCACGTTATTACTATAGGCATCCCAGTATGGTTAAATTAATTGAACTGTTAAATACATTTTATAGAAATACTTTGAATAGATTAGCAATATTTTGTAATAAAGCATTTAGTATTAGAAATGAAAATATGAATAATGTATATGACTAGTATGATAACACCAAATGTTTAATTTGTATAATTGTATGTTTGTATTTTCCCTCTCGCTGTTTTAATGTATACTGTATATTTGTGTAATGACGAGGAACTGTTATGTTCAAGTTATATTGAATAAAAATGTATGTTCTGTTCTGTTCTGCTTAAAATCCTAAAAATATTTATTTTTTACCGAGCGCTGAAAATTTTCAACTTCGGGCTATTGATCACGTGACATAAAAGTCTAATATTTTTACTTATTACACATTTACAGTGTCATTCTTCTGTGAACAATACATTGGACGAAAGCAAAATGCATGTAGAAAACATGTCAGAAAAAGGAAATGATAAAGAAACAAAAACACGGAAAGAAAAGGTAAGTTCACTGACTAATTATAATAAGATAATGCAACTTAACAGGACTTTCTGAAAACAGCATATAATCAATATTACGCTTATGACTTACTGAATTATTATTTGTACTTTGATATGACATTTGCAAAATTGATTAATTGCAAATCAAACTAACTGGACTTCTAAAGTTAAGCAATTGTTACAAGAAACAAGATTTAATGGTGTTTGGTTATTTCCCGAATCTGTAAATGTTAATATTTTTATTCCAATACTTAGAACAAGACTTATCTATATCAGTAACTGGAGACAAGATGTAAATAATAAAAGCTCACTCTCTTTGTTTAAAGAATTAACAAATAACTTTGAATTATCAAATTCTTTAAATAAAATATTTTGCACAAAATTGAGAAATACAATAGCTTAACTAAAATTGTCTTCACACCGTTTAAATATAGAGACTTGCAGACATAGAAACATTGTGAGATCGAAAAGAAAATGTACATTTTGCAACCTAAACGACATAGAAGATGAAAACCCTTTTGTTTTAATTTGTCCTATTTATTCAGATTTAAGAAAGTTGTATATACCACGTAATTACTTTAGGCATCCCAGTATGGTTATATTAAGTGATCTGTTCAATACATGTTATACAAATACTTTGAATAGATAAGCAATATTTTGTAATAAAGCATTTAGTATTAAAAATGAAAATATGAATTATGTATATGACTAGTATGATAACACCAAATGTTTAATTTGTATAATTGTACGTTTGTATTTACCCTCACGCTGTTTTAATGTATGCTGTATATTTGTTTAATGACGAGGAACTTTTATGTTCAAGTCATATTGATTAATAAAGTCTGTTCTGTTCTGCTTAAAATCCTAAAAATATTTATTTTTTACCGAGCGCTGAAAATTTTCAACTTTGGGCAATTGATCACGTGACATAAAAGTCTAATATGTTTACTTATTACACATTTACAGGGCCATTCTTCTGTGAACAATACATTGGACGAAAGCAAAATTCATGTAGAAAACATGTCAGAAAAAGGAAATGATCAACACACAAAAACACGAAAAGAAAAGGTTAGTTCACAGCCATATAATAATAAGATAATTCAACTTAACAGGACTTTCTGAAAACAGCATATAATCAATATTACGCTTATGGCTTACTGAATTATTATTTGCAATTTGATATGACATTTGCAAAATTGAATGATTGCAAATCAAACTAACTGACTTCTAAAGTTAAGCAATTGTTACAAGAAACAAGATTTAATGGTGTTTGGTTATTTCCCGAATCTGTAAATGTTAATATTTTTATTCCAATACTTAGAACAAGACTTATAGATATCCATATCAGTAACCGGAGACGAGATGTAAATAATAAATGCTCACTCTCTTTGTTTAAAGAATTAACAAATAACTTTGAATTATCAAATTCTTTAAATAAAAATGTTTTGCACAAAATTGAGAAATACAATAGCTTAACTAACATTGTCTTCACATCGTTTAAATTTAGAGACTTGCAGACATAGAAACATTGTGAGATCGAAAAGAAAATGTACATTTTGCAACCTAAACGACATAGAAGATGAATACCCTTTTGTTTTAATTTGTACTATTTATTCAGATTTAAGAAAATTGTATATACCACGTTATTACTTTAGGCATCCCAGTATGGTTATATTAATTGATCTGTTAAATACATGTTATACAAATACTTTGAATAGATAAGCAATATTTTGTAATAAAGCATTTAGTATTAGAAATGAAAATATGAATTATGTATATGACTAGTATGATAACACCAAATGTTTAATTTTTATAATTGTATGTTTGTATTTACCCTCACGCTGTTTTAATGTATGCTGTATATTTGTGTAATGACGAGGAACTGTTATGTTCAAGTCATATTGATTAATAAAGTCTGTTCTGTTCTGCTTAAAATCCTAAAAATATTTATTTTTTACCGAGCGCTGAAAATTTTCAACTTTGGGCAATTGATCACGCGACATAAAAGTCTAATATGTTTACTTATTACACATTTACAGTGTCATTCTTCTGTGAACAATACATTTGACGAAAGCAAAATGCATGTAGAAAACATGTCAGAAAAAGGAAATGATCAACACACAAAAACACGGAAAGAAAAGGTAAGTTCACTGACTAATTATAATAAGATAATGCAACTTAACAGGACTTTCTGAAAACAGCATATAATCAATATTACGCTTATGGCTTACTGAATTATTATTTGCAATTTGATATGACATTTGCAAAATTGATTAATTGCAAATCAAACTAACTGGACTTCTAAAGTTAAGCATTTGTTACAAGAAACAAGATTTAATGGTGTTTGGTTATTTCCCAAATCTGTGAATGTTAATATTTTTATTCCAATACTTAGAACAAGACTTATAGATATCTATATAAGTAACTGGAGACAAGATGTAAATAATAAAAGCTCACTCTCTTTGTTTAAAGAATTAACAAATAACTTTGAATTTTTAAATTCTTTAAATGAAATGTTTTGCACAAAATTGAGAAATACAATAGCTTAACTAATATTGTCTTCACACCGTTTAAATATAGAGACTTGCAGACATAGAAACATTGTGAGATCGAAAAGAAAATGTACATTTTGCAACCTAAACGACATAGAAGATGAATACCCTTTTGTTTTAATTTGTCCTATTTATTCAGATTTAAGAAAATTGTATATACCACGTAATTACTTTAGGCATCCCAGTATGGTTATATTAAATGATCTGTTAAATACATGTTATACAAATACTTTGAATAGAATAGCAATATTTTGTAATAAAGCATTTAGTATTAGAAATGAAAATATGAATTATGTATATGACTAGTATGATAACACCAAATGTTTAATTTGTATAATTGTATGTTTGTATTTACCCTCACGCTGTTTTAATGTATGCTGTATATTTGTGTAATGACGAGGAACTGTTATGTTCATGTCATATTGATTAATAAAGTCTGTTCTGTTCTGCTTAAAATCCTAAAAATATTTATGTTTTACCGAGCGCTGAAAATTTTCAACTTTGGGCAATTGATCACGCGACATAAAAGTCTAATATGTTTACTTATTACACATTTACAGTGTCATTCTTCTGTGAACAATACATTTGACGAAAGCAAAATGCATGTAGAAAACATGTCAGAAAAAGGAAATGATCAACAAACAAAAACACGAAAAGAAAAGGTAAGTTCACAGCCATATTATAATAAGATAATGCAACTTAACAGGACTTTCTGAAAACAGCATAAAAGCTCACTCTCTTTGTTTAAAGAATTAACAAATAACTTTGAATTATTAAATTCTTTAAATAAAAATGTTTTGCACAAAATTGAGAAATACAATAGCTTAACTAACATTGTCTTCACACCGTTTAAATTTAGAGACTTGCAGACATAGAAACATTGTGAGATCGAAAAGAAAATGTACATTTTGCAACCTAAACGACATAGAAGATGAATACCCTTTTGTTTTAATTTGTCCTATTAATTCAGATTTAAGAAAATTGTATATACCACTTTATTACTTTAGGCATCCCAGTATGGTTATATTAATTGATCTGTTAAATACATGTTATACAAATACTTTGAATAGATAAGCAATATTTTGTAATAAAGCATTTAGTTTTAGAAATGAAAATATGAATAATGTATATGACTAGTATGATAACACCAAATGTTTAATTTGTATAATTGTATGTTTGTATTTACCCTCTCGCTGTTTTAATGTATGCTGTATATTTGTGTAATGACGAGGAACTGTTATGTTCAAGTCATATTGAATAATAAAGTCTGTTCTGTTCTGCTTAAAATCCTGAAAATATTTATGTTTTACCGAGCGCTGAAAATTTTCAACTTTGGGCAATTGATCACGTGACATAAAAGTCTGATATGTTTACTTATTACACATTTACAGTGTCATTCTTTTGTGAACAATACATTGGACGAAAGCAAAATGCATGTAGAAAACATGTCAGAAAAAGGAAATGATCAACACACAAAAACACGGAAAGAAAAGGTAAGTTCACTGACTAATTATAATAAGATAATGCAACTAAACAGGACTTTCTGAAAACAGCATATAATCAATATTACGCTTATGGCTTACTGAATTATTATTTGCAATTTGATATGACATTTGCAAAATTGATTAATTGCAAATCAAACTAACTGGACTTCTAAAGTTTAGCAATTGTTACAAGAAACAAGATTTAATGGTGTTTGGTTATTTCCCGAATCTGTAAATGTTAATATTTTTATTCCAATACTTAGAACAAGACTTATAGATATCTATATTAGTAACTGGAGACAAGATGTAAATAATAAAAGCTCACTCTCTTTGTTTAAAGAATTAACAAATAACTTTGAATTATTAAATTCTTTAAATGAAATGTTTTGCACAAAATTGAGAAATACAATAGCTTAACTAATATTGTCTTCACACCGTTTAAATATAGAGACTTGCAGACATAGAAACATTGTGAGATCGAAAAGAAAATGTACATTTTGCAACCTAAACGACATAGAAGATGAATACCCTTTTGTTTTAATTTGTCCTATTTATTCAGATTTAAGAAAATTGTATATACCACGTAATTACTTTAGGCATCCCAGTATGGTTATATTAAATGATCTGTTAAATACATGTTATACAAATACTTTGAATAGATAAGCAATATTTTGTAATAAAGCATTTAGTATTAGAAATGAAAATATGAATTATGTATATGACTAGTATGATAACACCAAATGTTTAATTTGTATAATTGTATGTTTGTATTTACCCTCACGCTGTTTTAATGTATGCTGTATATTTGTGTAATGACGAGGAACTGTTATGTTCAAGTCATATTGATTAATAAAGTATGTTCTGTTCTGCTTAAAATCCTAAAAATATTTATTTTTTACCGAGCGCTGAAAATTTTCAACTTTGGGCAATTGATCACGCGACATAAAAGTCTAATATGTTTACTTATTACACATTTACAGTGTCATTCTTCTGTGAACAATACATTTGACGAAAGCAAAATGCATGTAGAAAACATGTCAGAAAAAGGAAATGATCAACAAACAAAAACACGAAAAGAAAAGGTAAGTTCACAGCCATATTATAATAAGATAATGCAACTTAACAGGACTTTCTGAAAACAGCATATAATCAATATTACGCTTATGGCTTACTGAATTATTATTTGCAATTTGATATGACATTTGCAAAATTGATTAATTGCAAATCAAACTAACTGGACTTCTAAAGTTAAGCAGTTGTTACAAGACACAAGATTTAATGATGTTTGGTTATTTCCGGAATCTGTAAATGTTAATATTTTTATTCCAATACTTAGAACAAGACTTATAGATATCTATATTAGTAACTGGAGACAAGATGTAAATAATAAAAGCTCACTCTCTTTGTTTAAAGAATTAACAAATAACTTTGAATTATCACATTCTTTAAATAAAAATGTTTTGCACAAAATTGAGAAATACAAAAGCTTAACTAACATTGTCTTCACACCGTTTAAATTTAGAGACATGCAGACATAGAAACACTGTGAGATCGAAAAGAAAATGTACATTTTTCAACCTAAACGAGATTGAAGATGAATACCCTTTTGTTTTAATTTGTCCTATTAATTCAGATTTAAGAAAATTGTATATACCACGTTATTACTTTAGGCATCCCAGTATGGTTATATTAATTGATCTGTTAAATACATGTTATACAAATACTTTGAATAGATAAGCAATATTTTGTAATAAAGCATTTAGTATTAGAAATGAAAATATGAATAATGTATATGACTAGTATGATAACACCAAATGTTTAATTTGTATAATTGTATGTTTGTATTTTCCCTCACGCTGTTTTAATGTATGCTGTGTATTTGTGTAATGACGAGTAACTGTTATGTTCAAGTCATATTGAATAATAAAGTCTGTTCTGTTCTGCTTAAAATCCTAAAAATATTTATTTTTTACCGAGCGCTGAAAATTTTCAACTTTGGGCAATTGATCACGTGACATAAAAGTCTAATATGTTTACTTATTACACATTTACAGTGTCATTCTTTTGTGAACAATACATTGGACGAAAGCAAAATGCATGTAGAAAACATGTCAGAAAAAGGAAATGATCAACACACAAAAACACGGAAAGAAAAGGTAAGTTCACTGACTAATTATAATAAGATAATGCAACTTAACAGGACTTTCTGAAAACAGCATATAATCAATATTACGCTTATGGCTTACTGAATTATTATTTGCAATTTGATATGACATTTGCAAAATTGATTAATTGCAAATCAAACTAACTGGACTTCTAAAGTTAAGCAATTGTTACAAGAAACAAGATTTAATGGTGTTTGGTTATTTCCCGAATCTGTAAATGTTAATATTTTTATTCCAATACTTAGAACAAGACTTATAGATATCTATATTAGTAACTGGAGACAAGATGTAAATAATAAAAGCTCACTCTCTTTGTTTAAAGAATTAACAAATAACTTTGAATTATTAAATTCTTTAAATGAAATGTTTTGCACAAAATTGAGAAATACAATAGCTTAACTAATATTGTCTTCACACCGTTTAAATATAGAGACTTGCAGACATAGAAACATTGTGAGATCGAAAAGAAAATGTACATTTTGCAACCTAAACGACATAGAAGATGAATACCCTTTTGTTTTTAATTTGTCCTATTTATTCAGATTTAAGAAAATTGTATATACCACGTAATTACTTTAGGCATCCCAGTATGGTTTATATTAAATGATCTGTTAAATACATGTTATACAAATACTTTGAATAGATAAGCAATATTTTGTAATAAAGCATTTAGTATTAGAAATGAAAATATGAATTATGTATATGACTAGTATGATAACACCAAATGTTTAATTTGTATAATTGTATGTTTGTATTTACCCTCACGCTGTTTTAATGTATGCTGTATATTTGTGTAATGACGAGGAACTGTTATGTTCAAGTCATATTGATTTAATAAAGTCTGTTCTGTTCTGCCTAAATCGCTAAAATATTTATTTTTTACCGACGCGCTGAAAATTTTCAAACTTTGGGCAATTGATCACGTGAACATAAAAAGTCTCAATATGTTTACTTATTACACATATACAGTGTCATTCTCTGTGAACAATACATTTGACGAAAGCAAAATGCATGTAGAAAAATGTCAGAAAAAGGAAATGATCAACAAACAAAAACACGAAAAGAAGAGGTAAGTTCACAGCCATATTATAATAAGATAATGGCAACTAACAGGACTTTCTGAAAACAGCATATATCAATATTACCGCTTATGATGGCTTACTGAATTATTAAATTTGCAATTTGATATGAAATTTTTGCAAAATTGATTTAATTGCAAAATCAAGAACCTAACGTGGACTTTAAAGTTAAGCAATTGTTACAAGAAACAAAGATTTATGGTGTTTGGTTATTTCCCCGAATCTGTAAATGTTTAATAATTTTTATTCCAATACTTAGACAAGACTTATAGATATCTATATTAGGTAACTGGAAACGAGATTAAATAATAAAAAGCTCACTCTCTTTGTTTAAAGAATTAACAAATAACTTTGAATTATCACATTCTTTAAATAAAAAATGTTTTGCACAAAATTGAGAAATACAATAGCTTAACTAACATTGTCTTCACACCGTTTAAATTTAGAGACTTGCAGACATAGAAACACTGTGAGATCGAAAAGAAAATGTACATTTTGCAACCTAAACGACATAGAAGATGAATACCCTTTTGTTTTAATTTGTCCTATTTATTCAGATTTAAGAAAAGTGTATATACCACGTTATTACTTTAGGCATCCCAGTATGGTTATATTAATTGATCTGTTAAATACATGTTATACAAATACTTTGAATAGATAAGCAATATTTTGTATTAAAGCATTTAGTATTAGAAATGAAAATATGAATAATGTATATGACTAGTATGATAACACCAAATGTTTAATTTGTATAATTGTATGTTTGTATTTACCCTCTCGCTGTTTTAATGTATGCTGTATATTTGTGTAATGACGAGGAACTGTTATGTTCAAGTCATATTGAATAATAAAGTCTGTTCTGTTCTGCTTAAAATCCTAAAAATATTTATTTTTTACCGAGCGCTGAAAATTTTCAACTTTGGGCAATTGATCACGCGACATAAAAGTCTAATATGTTTACTTATTACACATTTACAGTGCCATTCTTCTGTGAACAATACATTTGACGAAAGCAAAATGCATGTAGAAAACATGTCAGAAAAAGGAAATGATCAACAAACAAAAACACGAAAAGAAAAGGTAAGTTCACAGCCATATTATAATAAGATAATGCAACTTAACAGGACTTTCTGAAAACAGCATATAATCAATATTACGCTTATGGCTTACTGAATTATTATTTGCAATTTGATATGACATTTGCAAAATTGATTAATTGCAAATCAAACTAACTGGACTTCTAAAGTTAAGCAGTTGTTACAAGAAACAAGATTTAATGGTGTTTGGTTATTTCCGGAATCTGTAAATGTTAATATTTTTATTCCAATACTTAGAACAAGACTTATAGATATCTATATTAGTAACTGGAGACGAGATGTAAATAATAAAAGCTCACTCTCTTTGTTTAAAGAATTAACAAATAACTTTGAATTATCACATTCTTTAAATAAAAATGTTTTGCACAAAATTGAGAAATACAATAGCTTAACTAACATTGTCTTCACACCGTTTAAATTTAGAGACTTGCAGACATAGAAACACTGTGAGATCGAAAAGAAAATGTACATTTTGCAACCTAAACGACATAGAAGATGAATACCCTTTTGTTTTAATTTGTCCTATTAATTCAGATTTAAGAAAATTGTATATACCACGTTATTACTTTAGGCATCCCAGTATGGTTATATTAATTGATCTGTTAAATACATGTTATACAAATACTTTGAATAGATAAGCAATATTTTGTAATAAAGCATTTAGTATTAGAAATGAAAATATGAATAATGTATATGACTAGTATGATAACACCAAATGTTTAATTTGTATAATTGTATGTTTGTATTTACCCTCTCGCTGTTTTAATGTATGCTGTATATTTGTGTAATGACGAGGAACTGTTATGTTCAAGTCATATTGAATAATAAAGTCTGTTCTGTTCTGCTTAAAATCCTAAAAATATTTATTTTTTACCGAGCGCTGAAAATTTTCAACTTTGGGCAATTGATCACGTGACATAAAAGTCTAATATGTTTACTTATTACACATTTACAGTGTCATTCTTTTGTGAACAATACATTGGACGAAAGCAAAATGCATGTAGAAAACATGTCAGAAAAAGGAAATGATCAACACACAAAAACACGGAAAGAAAAGGTAAGTTCACTGACTAATTATAATAAGATAATGCAACTTAACAGGACTTTCTGAAAACAGCATATATTCAATATTACGCTTATGGCTTACTGAATTATTATTTGTAATTTGATATGACATTTGCAAAATTGATTAATTGCAAATCAAACTAACTGGACTTCTAAAGTTAAGCAATTGTTACAAGAAACAAGATTTAATGGTGTTTGGTTATTTCCCGAATCTGTAAATGTTAATATTTTTATTCCAATACTTAGAACAAGACTTATAAATATCTATATTAGTAACTGGAGACAAGATGTAAATAATAAAAGCTCACTCTCTTTGTTTAAAGAATTAACAAATAACTTTGAATTATTAAATTCTTTAAATGAAATGTTTTGCACAAAATTGAGAAATACAATAGCTTAACTAATATTGTCTTCACATCGTTTAAATATAGAGACTTGCAGACATAGAAACAGTGTGAGATCGAAAAGAAAATGTACATTTTGCAACCTAAACGACATAGAAGATGAATACCCTTTTGTTTTAATTTGTCCTATTTATTCAGATTTAAGAAAATTGTATATACCACGTTATTACTATAGGCATCCCAGTATGGTTAAATTAATTGAACTGTTAAATACATGTTATACAAAGACTTTGAATAGATTAGCAATATTTTGAAATAAAGCATTTAGTATTAGAAATGAAAATATGAATTATGTATATGACTAGTATGATAACACCAAATGTTTAATTTGTATAATTGTATGTTTGTATTTACCCTCTCGCTGTTTTAATGTATGCTGTATATTTGTGTAATGACGAGGAACTGTTATGTTCAAGTCATATTGATTAATAAAGTCTGTTCTGTTCTGTTCTGCTTAAAAACCTAAAAATATTTATTTTTTACCGAGCGCTGAAAATTTTCAACTTCGGGCAATAGATCACGTGACATAAAAGTCTAATATGTTTACTTATTACACATTTACAGTGTCATTCTTGTGTGAACAATACATTTGACGAAAGCAAAATGCATGTAGAAAACATGTCGAAAAAAGCAAATGAGAAGCAAACAAAAACACGGAAAGAAAAGGTAAGTTTACTGACTAATTATAATAAGATAATGCAACTTAACAGGACTTTCTGAAAACAGCATATAATCAATATTACGCTTATGGCTTACTGAATTATTATTTGCAATTTGATATGACATTTGCAAAATTGATTAATTGCAAATCAAACTAACTGGACTTCTAAAGTTTAGCAATTGTTACAAGAAACAAGATTTAATGGTGTTTAGTTATTTCCCGAATCTGGCAATGTTAATATTTTTATTCCAATACTTAGAACAGGACTTATATATATCTATATCAGTAACTGGAGACAAGATGTAGTTAATAAAAGCTCACTCTCTTTGTTTAAAGAATTAACAAATAACTTTGAATTATCAAATTCTTTAAATAAAATGTTTTGCACAAAATTGAGAAATACAATAGCTTAACTAAGATTGTCTTTGCGCCGTTTAAATATAGAGACTGGCAGACATAGAAACATTGTGAGATCGAAAGGAAAATGTACATTTTGCAACCTAAACGACATATAAGATTAATACCCTTTTGTTTTAATTTGTCCTATTTATTTAGATTTAAGAAAATTGTATACACCACGCTATTAATATAGGCATCTCAGTATGGTTAAATTAATTGATCTATTAAATACATGTTATACAAATACTTTGAATAGATTAGCAATATTTTGTAATAAAGCATTTAGTATTAGAAATGAAAATATGAATAATTTATATGACTAGTATGATAACACCAAGTGTTAAATTTGTATATTTGTATGTTTGTATTTTCACTATCACTGTTTTAATGTTTACTGTATATTTAGTAATGACGAGGAACTGTTATGTTCAAGTCATATTGGATAATAAAATCTGTTCTGTTCTGCCTAAAATCCTAAAAATATTTATTTTTTACCGAGCGCTGAAAATTTTCAACTTTGGGCAATTGATCACGTGACATAAAAGTCTAATATGTTTACTTATTACACATTTACAGTGTCATTCTTTTGTGAACAATACATTTGACGAAAGCAAAATGCATGTAGAAAACATGTCAGAAAAAGGAAATGATAAAGAAACGAAAACACGGAAAGAAAAGGTAAGTTCACAGCCATATTATAATAAGATTATGCAACTTAACAGGACTTTCTGAAAACAGCATATAATCAATATTACGCTTATGGCTTACTGAATTATTATTTGTAATTTGATATGACATTTGAAAAATTGATGAACTGTCTTCATATCTTCATCGAAAAACAAATGAAGAGCTCATGGTATTATTACTTATTAGCATTTTATATGGTAGAAATATGTTCACAATTTTAATGAACTTACATCATAGTACACATATATCCAAGAAAGGTTAAAGATAGTAAAAACAAACGTTTTCGTCTCAAAACTTTACTTACTTTATCACACATTTGTATTTGCTTCCCTGCAGTGATAAAAGGATTGTTACACAAATTACAGATATGACATCAACAAACCAAATGACATCAGAAAAAATACGTTTACGCTCAATGTAGTTCAGCATATTTTTTTATCAGATTCCTTTTTATTAACATTTAAGAGCAATTATATATACATGTTTTTACCTTTCTTGCACGATACTGTTTATCGTTTAAATGTTGTTTTTTTATTATACGACTAAGACCATTCTGCCTCGGGATTATCTTCTTTTGCATTTGAACTTAAACCGCTCAAAATTGGTATCTTTTTCCTGAATATAAAACTATACGAAGTGCAAATTGACTTTGACTTTTTAAATTATCAAAACATGGCAACGTTCCTGTATTAAATTTTGTTTTTCTAATTAAATAAATAATACAAATATGACTTATCCTAACATTTCATAAAAGAATCATTGAAGTTTGTTTTATAGCTACTATGGTCAAGCATAGGAAAAAGCGGTTTCGATTTTTTGGTATTGTTTGATTTTCTCTGTCAGCAAATTTACGGAAATTACAGCTTTTATTAAGAAAAAATATGTACCCCAACAGTGATTTTATCATGAAATAAAACTCACTGTTTGAGGTATAATATCACTATTCAGCAATTCAATATACAAAAATACATTACTATGTTCATAAAGTAACGTTATCAAACATTATTATATTCACATTATAAACGAATAAACGAATAATCAACGAATATAATTTTGCAGGTGCTGGTATATGATATTGAGAAAGGGAAAACAACAAGATTCTTTATTGAGGCCTTTAAAAAATATCTTGACGACTTTGAATTTAAAGATTTTTGCGAGGCTGAAGACAGAGAAAAGCTTATTCTTTCTATCATTGCAGTTGTACGACACACTTCAATACGCGTTACAGAAACCTTGAGTCAAGTCAAAGAACAATGTGATAAAAGTATGCACAAAAATGTTATGCAAATATAGCAAGTACATTTATTAGAATAATAACATTCATAAATGGACAAATATTCTTTAAAATGTAACTATTTAGTTAAGCTAATAAATTTCGATCTAAGACGAATTCATACAAAAGCATTGACATTTTTATTATAATTAAATGATTTTGTTTCATCCCATAAAGAAAAGATAAATAACACTACATGTATTTACACCTACAACTACTTTTGCATACACAAATGAGGTTTTATTTTGAATTTCAATAATTTACAGAATACAGTTTTTTTCAAATCTATTTTAAGATGACAACTTATACAAATAACTGAATTCTTATTTGAAAAGGGATGATGTTTTTTATTTACAGAAAATATCAAAGATCTTAAAAGAGTGTTCGTCATTTACTTTTACGTCAATAAATCAGATGAAGGTTGTGAGCATACGATTACACAGATATCTGAGTCTGGACAGTTCGACTTTGCAACAATAGTACTGATTAATTTCAGTGGCGCTTCTCTGTCTACCAAATATTTTGGTTCAGTTCCGGGTAAATACTTTCTTAAAACGGGTAATAAAGAATCGCTACAAAAACTAGAAGAGTGTATACTATCGAGAAAGGTAAGTTCAATACTTCAATTCACACATACATGCATGTTAACTTTCATATGTATATAACTTGAGATAACAGCAACTTTTGACATTTATAGTATTGAATTACTTAATTCATTTTCATAGGCCTTTGTAGCTTAACATTGTTTAATGTTTATTTCTTCAAGAAATTGTGTGTCAACGTCTACAGTGACTTGGATTTCCGACGGGTCAAAGCTTTTATTGCGGAATTAGATCAGTTCATTTTAAGCTCTATTGAATTACAAGCCGTGAAGCCTTTAACAGAACCGGTCGATGTAACATCACCCACCTTGATTTGTACAACAGGGGATGTGGATGAGTGTCAGAAAAAACTCAAAGAGAAAGGTAGTAACTTTGGGTATTAACAAATAAATACATATTTATGGTTAACAATTATATGATTTTATGTTATCGTTTATTTTCATAATTATGTTGGAATGTCAACCTTAATGCCCCCGTAAGGAGGCATACAGTATTTGTCCATCCAACTGTCTGTCGATCTTTGTGGTTTTTTTTTCGGTGTTTAACTTCCTCATTTATGAATATTTATATTAATTATGAATTCTTAAAAAGATTTTTTAATAAATTCATAATTTGTGTCCGGTAAACGATCCTGGTTTTTCTAAATGGGTCTTAATGTTTATATGAGTACATGCGTAAGACATGCTGGCAATGTGTTGTACGCATGAAACAGGTCTCCGAAACAAATGGAAGAAACAAAAGAATGATATGAAATTTTCATACAAAAGCATCGATTGTCTTATCTGGTAAAAAACGTCTATTATTCCTGATTAGATTTTCAAATGACTTGAACCAATATCATTCAAGGATTATCTGAAAATAACTGGCTTATTTTGATATAACGTGTACGAGTGTCGATTCAACAGTCACACTCGTGAATGATCAATCATATTCTGTTCGTATGTTCGTCATTCATTGACTGATACGTTTACATATATATGTGGTACTTTTAAACAATAATTGATGATTTACCCCTCGTTTTTAGGCCATTTTCTATAGTAAATAAAACTTCATCAAAGTTGTGTGAAGTCACCAATATTGTCTTTCAAAGATGGACCTTTAAATAACTAGGAATAAACTTTTTTGATGTTAATACGACTAACAAATTATTAAACTCAAATGCGAAATTAAGAGATTGATGGTTTTGTCTGATCTTATCTTTGCACATTGTATTTCAATCATAGAAATATTTGTTAAATTGCATCCTCAAAATGTACGAAAATATTTTCTTGAGTCCCTTTTCTCATATATTACTGGGGTCATCTTCTGGACATTTGTTTCCAGTGGAAACTAGACCTAATTTTATTTATGATAAGTAAAATAATGATATATGATACAAACGCATAAAGAACGTTTATTTACAGACTTGAAGGACGTTTTCTTTTGCCACATAATTGATATTGCAAATGTATCATCGAAAATTGGTAAACATGACAGCGCTGATGGCAGGGATGAAGAGGAACGAAATCCCAGTTCTGCGTCATCTGCTGGTGCCGGAAACAATACAACACAAAATGCCAAAAATATGCCTCGGAAAATGTCTGAGATACTTAATTACAATGGAAAGTTTAAATTTGATTTAGATTTTATAAAGCAATTTGAAACCTTTGTTCGCACATGTTCTGAAGAAATAAAACCTCAATCTGGATAAGGTTTGGAATATCAGGATTGTACTTAACTGATATGATGTATTTTATTAGTTATTAAGATTTTTGACTGATTATGAATGTTTATTAAACGTATTTTTAACCGCAGTGAGTTTAAATTAAATATTTCGAGTCGCGCTTACTAATATAATTGTGATTGCGTCTGGCCAAAAAAAAAAAAAAAAACAATTTTCAAAAAGATTCAGTTGCCTTGAGGCAAACCGCAACTAGTTCTAGACCATTTTGATGCAATTATTATAGTTGATATAAAAATACCTAACAAGAGTGAGATATGGAAAAGAGAAGTTATAAGTTCAATTGTCATTTTCATACAGTCATCTACGCCTTAGTCGTATTTTATTTTAAAATAGAGTGTCATTCGATTTACTGGAAATCATAACGAGTCACCAGTGCACTAAATATTATGGAACATTATTCAGTTTGTTTGTGATTCTTTATAAAAGCTCTCTAAAAACTCAAATTCTGTATCTTAAACTATAACCTAAGGTAATGGAAAATTGTAACTGTTTTTTAACTTAATATGACTTTTGCAATTGTTTTAAAAAAAAAACCATGTGCATCTGTACATCATTACTTTTTTTTATTATATAATCTCTGATCAATAAAACAGAAATATTTTGAAACGTTGAGTCTTTTTTGATGATTATTAGTACAGAAAACCTTATTTGGGAGACATTTATTTTTAGAAGTATAACCAGCATGTATAGCCATGTGACTAAACAACGCCACCTTTTAGCACGCGCACGTTCATGTTTTCAGTGAGTTATAGAAGTATATGGTATTGCGGTTGGTGTAGAATGGATATTATTGATATATGATAAGGCTCAATCACACTCACACTTGATAAGGTAACAATTATACATTGCCAAACACCAATGAAGTTGAAATCATAATTGACCATCATAAGATGTGATTTTATAGATAGTCGTCTAGGGAGTTGGCCCTTCTATTGGCTTTATGAAGATGACAAAGGTTATTTGACTTCATTCTTTTAGACTTAAAATCAAAATATATATAGACGCCAGTTTGCCCAATTTGCTAGGACATAATAACTAACACTCACAAAGGCTTTAGAAATCAAACTCACATTTCTTTATTGAAGACAAGTTAACGATACCTATGTAACAATATATAAATCACCTGGTTCTAATACAATGTCAAGCCATCTTGTGGCTATAAGTTCGGAGTAATAACCAAACAACTAAAATAACTAACCAGTCTTTCGGACGAGGCTTTTAATCGAGGTCTCTACAATGAAGATGTTTAAAACTTTGCTTTGGAAATTTGCCCTACGGCAAATGGTAACATATACCAATAACTTAATACATAAGATACAACATTTCGCTTAAAGCAACAATATTATTGAAACAGGAGGCCAAATCATGTTTTGTAAGCTCTCAAACAAACGAGAAAAATGTTTAATCTGATAATGCACAAGCCAGTTGTAAAATTGTGTTTAACAAAAATATTCAACCAAATGCGAGATTTAATCTACACAAACTCGTAACGTGAGAACAAAAAAACAAAACAAAAAACAAACACTATACCAACTTTAAGAATTTTTGATTGTGACAAAACGCTATTCATATCAATATTAAAGAAGCTCTTTTGGCTTTTCGAAATAGGTTAATATTTGATCTCGATGACAAAGGTCGTCTACAATAATTGCATTTGAAAGACATTTTTACAAAAGTTACCTCTCAATATGAATACAAAAATAATTGCAAAATTACAGGCATTCATTCATTGTAAATCATGACATTTCAAAATTGAGTCCCTCAGTTAAAAAAATCTGATATTATAATCACAACAATCTAATATAACACGTGAAAGAAATTAAACTAACTGCGTTTACAAACACACTGACGCTATTTATTGCCAAAAGACATACATTGACAAAAACAAATGCATGCATTTCTTTTGTGAGTCAAATTCTATGTTTTTGAAATTAAAAAACAACAACAAAAACAACAACACAACCCCCCACCAAAGAGAACAAATGTTAAGAAAACAGCAAATCAAATTAATTAATGACTAAGAGAGTAATTGTTTTCCATTTGAATAAAAATATTCAAATGCTCTTCGTTAAAGTGTGGCAAAAGGTCAAAATATATGTCCCTTATATGATTGAGTATGAAGGATCTTAAGAATATACACATAAAACACAAAATGACCTTTATAAAAATGATAATTTACAACGCTATCAAACAGTAAAACATGCACATCATTCTTCTTTGCAAGATGATGTTGAATTATGTCTTCAAACCCGATTGTATTTGCATTGAGATTTTGGCACCAAAAAGTTATTCATAAGTAAATTGATTTGGTTGATTATGAAATACTTCTGCACAAACTTTAGCCTTATCATTTTTTTCTGAAAATGCAGTAACGTATCTTAAGTCGTAACTTTCTAACAGTTAAATGATCGTCAATCTTCAATCTCAGACAACGAAAATAATTTCCGGAGATGCGCAAGGTTCATATTAGAACCGTTATTGTTCGTTATAATACTAAGAACATTATATCTTAGTACGCTAAATGAAAAAGTTTTTGAAAACTGATAAAAATGCCCCGGGTATTTGCACAGATAACAGCTAAATTTGGAACATGCAAATTGAACAAAATGTTCGTGTTATTGTTGTTTTAATTTTTGTTTTGCACTTTGATATGAAATTACTGTATAACAATGCATATACAGTAATTCAGTATTAACTGGATGCATATGAAGCAATACAGTATTAACTGCCAACAACCATTTGACCTAAGTTCTTACATCTGCAAATCTTGACGCCAAAGGTCAAAGGTTAGTTTTAGCGTTAGGACAATATAGCTTTGATATTATCGTGATGGAAATCAACAATACAAATGCAGTCGACTTAAGCAGATATCCATTTGACAAAGAGAAGACCCTGCTATCATGGAAAAGAGAAACAACGACGCAGTCAAGGTCATTTGAAGAACAACTGTCATACCACCATACACTAGGACTATCCCTTGTGAAAGTTTAAACATCATTGAAACCACTGAAGACTCAACTCAGACATAAACACAAGTAGAATTAAGAGAATTAGGAAAAAAGTCAACCATAAACATATGGATAAGCTTCTGACAATTCAAACAGTATTGAACACTTGCTTGCCCTTTCAAGATTATATAGATGATATTTTTTGTGTCGCCTCTACGGAGTAGTTGCGACATATAGGGATCACTTCTTCGTCGTCTGTATGTCCGTCTGTCTGTCCGTCTGTCCGTCCGTCCATCACAAAACTTGTCCGGACTACTCCTCATAAACTACTGGTGCAATTTCATCCAAAATTTTACAGGAATGATCAGTACCAAGTGCATATTGTCAGTATTTTCCGGTTCAATGATTTTTGTCAGAGTTATGGCCCTTTAATAATTTTTATTTTTAAAGTTTGTCCGGACTACTTCTCTTATACCACTAATGCAATTTCAATGAAACTTTACAGGATTGATCTGTAGCTCAAGTCCTTGCGCATATTGCACGGGTTTTCCGGTTGAATGATTTTTGGCCGAGTTATGGCCCTTTGATAAAAAGGTGTTTTTTTCTGTGTGTTGCCAGATACACAAAAGCTTGTCCGGACTACTCCTCATAAACTACTGGTGCAATTTTATCCAAACTTTACAGGAATGATCAGTACCAAGTCTAGTTGTGCACTGTCCGTCTGTCTGTCCGTCTGTCACAAAACTTGTCCCAACATGAAATTGGCCACCATGAGGCGACACATGTGATCACTGATCGCTTTTGTTGTAAGATGAAATTTTATTTCATTCAGTGAGTTTAAAAACAGTATTTTAACGAATGTAAGCCACATATGAGGATACAGTTTTTTAAGTTCTTGGGATGAAATAAGAGAACATCTTATCTTTTCTTTTTATTTTATGCTTCAATGCCATTATAAATAAAATTTCCTGAATAATAATTTGAATAAACAAATCTGTTTTCCCGACTGTTTGCCTTAATTTCAGACTATTATTATTTCAAATTTATTAAAAACAGATGACATCATAAAGTTAAAAAGTTAACGTTAAATTGATATGATATTATAAAGTCTAAACAAGAAAAAATGAAATGCATGATCATCTTTAAACAGCCCTGGTTTTGTCAGAATTACGGGCAAAGAAATAAAAGGAAGATACCACATGTAAAATATTTTTAAAATGTAGCCTCTTCATTTAAAAATGTAAATTATATTTTGATTTGTTTCACTGTGAAATTGTTTAATATCTTTTTGACGGATAAATCAGTGACCCATTCAAAAGTATAAAATAAAAAATTCTTTATGGTTTATTATGATTCAAAAGTTGTCAAATTTACATTGAATGAAAACAATAGAAAATAAATTTCTTTTAACAATGCCAATATAAATACCAAAGTCCATTTTCACACAAACAAAACTTGATTATTATTTTATTGTATTCAAACGAATTATCCATAGGTAAACTTATACAGGAAGTTTATTGCCAGATAATGGTTAAACGTCTATACCAGGTAAACATAGACTTTAATACAATAGTTGATTTGAAGCGTGGATAATATTTGTATTCGTACAAACCTAAAAATTATACTTTCGTTGCCTAATCCATATCGTGTACATTGGTATCTCGTATTTTAGAGTAACATTTAAGATAGCTTATTATAGTTATTATGTACATTGACATCTCGTTTATTAGGGGGACATTAAGGATACATTTTTATAGTTATTTGGAAACTAACTTGTATTCAGGTTAGTTTTATTCATGGTTAAATTCTATTATGATTTATATAGGAAAATAAAACGTCTAGTTAAATTGTTATAACATTTGTTGATTTCGAGATAACAGTAAGATAACATAAACAAAATGAACATATTCTTAAACTGACATAAATTTATGCTCGATTTTTTTCAGAGACTTATGTCATCTATGACTAACTCAAAACAATAACTTTTTTTTCATTTTCTTTAGAAATGATGATAAAGATATCATTTAATGAAGAAACCAAATCAAAGGAAAACTTTTAAGGCACTAAAGATATAATTAAGCAACTTATACATTAAAATGCAAATGACTGTAACAAAATGAGTTATATTGATTCGTTAAAAGGGAATTAAATGTAGAAAAGCATGGTGATAGTATGTTTGGATGTTTCTAAATAACTAGTTAACATCTTCTTATTTGGGATATTGTGGATGACACGAAGGCTGTTCGAAAAGAATTGCTTATTGTCCTCTATCTCGTGAATTATGTGGGACACGATAAAAACCAATACATACCTGTGTAGGGTAATTCAATACCTACATAACGGTGCATAAATGGACATGTTAGACTAAGTGTAAGATATACAATATGCCCATTAAAATACACGCAGTTATTGACCACTTTAGAAAAAATGGTTGGTAGAAGCGTCGACAAAAAGAAGTACAAAGAAGGTTTTGTATGCAATTTTCTTCTCTGGTGAAGGATTCGCAATAAAAGTGCCGGTGAAAAGGGCAAAAGTTTCACTGGGAAGTACTACAAAGACGTAGTACTTGAGAAACTGAAAAAGTATTATAAGAAACGACGCGCTGTCACTGGTGTTAAGCATATCCGTCTCGTACATGACAATGTCCCCGCTCATACCTCCGCAATAGTTTCGGCGTTTTTGAAAAAAGAAGAAGTAACTGTTTTGCCTCTACCCCCCGGTATTCTCCAGACCTTGCCCCATGTGATTTCTTTTTGTTCCGAAATTGAAATCCTTCTTTGCTGGGCGGAAATACAAGTCCCGACAGGCACTTGGATCTGCCATTCATCAGTTCTTTATTACCGTGTCCAAATCAGCGTACAGTGATGCCTTCAAAAAGTGGATACATCGGCGGAAACTTTCTAGCCACGGGGAGTACTTCGAGGGCATAAAATGAACTCTTTTGAGCTAACTTGAAATTTGAAGTCTCCAGAAAGAAATAAGCAATACTTTTCGAACATCTCTCGTAAATATCATTTGTACTGGTAGTTAATTATGTATATAACGATGTTGTTGTTTTATTAATAAATCTGTCAGTTGCAGACAGCGATACTACCATCGTAAAATATTGTTTAAGACAGAAACAAATTCACCTTGATTGAACGTATCGCCAAAAAACGTTTTGATTAAAATACGTTTTGATTAAAATGATGCAAATTTACCATTTACAAAAACGACGAGGCTTAAAGAAATTGATGTCTCAAAGATTACAGCATTATTCATTTTAGCTTGGTCGCGTTTGTGATGATTATCATCATTTTTAACATGTCGTTGAATATATTTTAGAAACAAAGTCCGATTAATTGAATACTTTAACGTCACTCTGTCTATGCGTCTAAAGAAAACAAGTGGTTATATTAAAGTTGTAATGCTATCAGTTTTGCTGAATGTCAGTTCCGTGCTTTCTTTTTTATAACAACTAGATATATTTATCAGCATTTTCGAGTATTTGCTTTTACTCGGACACACTCGGAATAGCAATCTCGCAAATGTTGATAAGATTTTTGAAGCTTTGACTAGACATATATCTTAACAAATTGTTAAGGTGTTCATGTCCGACAAATAGGATGTAAAGTACATTGATAGTACTCGTAGAAGATGAAGAATTAAGAGCTAGAAGAGCAAAATCTCATTTTCAGGACAGAAACAGAAATTGGCTAAAAGCAAATTGATTAACCCGATATTCTCATAAATATATTTCAAATATCATTTTCTTTAATCTTGCATAGTTGAAAAATATCTGCTCTAGTTTAAATTATCCTTTTTCTAAAGTTAATTGAAAAAAACAAATTTACAAGGAGCAAAAGATCCGACGGCCAAAGATCAAGATCTTGAAATGTCATTGTATGCATTTTTGTAATTTTCTATTTAAATATGCAAACCACAAGGCGGTTGTCCTCACATTTGATACCATTTCATACAATCATCATTTCTCCGTGCTGTACGCGATTGAAGTTTATTCTCTGTACTTGATCTAAAAAAAGATTCGGTATGTTGGCATGATGAATATTATATTCGACACAATTTGTAAACAACACAGATTGATATTGCTAAGTCTCTCGGAAGCAATATATTTTGAGGGATAAACAATTAGAAATTCAGTGTATATCTTTTAACATTACATATAAACAGTGCCATAATGCTGAGGACGACAACAAGCTTCAAATGGGAGACATGCCACAAAAATGGGAATGATGAGCAATCACAAGATAAAACAAAACGGTATGTGTTGTAAATGTCACAATATAATTTAGTTCAGTTACGTCAATTATATGTGCATAGATCCATATTTATATGTTTTCACGTATGTAGACCTATCAAAATATCACAATAACGTCACATATTTTGTAAAACATACAGGACTTATTTGTTTGACGACAGCATAACAAAATATTGGTAATATCATAAATGTTTCGAAATGACAATGCATTCCGTGGTTTTAATTAAACGTAGAAAAATATATTGTATAGTTATTTTTTCCAGTCAATAACAGAATAAACCTGAAAAATATCAGGTAATCATATTCATCGGTTAAAGAGTTAGTATAATGATGCATTTATTTATTTTCATGGCATTTATTTAAAAACACACACATACATTGAAATGCTTTATAAAACCATAAATATTATAGTTAATTGTGTTTTTTTATAAATGATTATTTGCATGTGCTGATGTTTGACAGATTTGAAGGAAAGGAAATATTAAAGGTAAGTTCTTGACTAAATACAATAATTTAATTTAGAAGAGGTGGATAATTCACCTTGTCGTCTTGTGACCAGTTTCGACGCCCTTAGGATTGTTTTGTATAAATCTATAAAAATCATGTGATTGTATTGTTTTAAATGTTTGAACTCATTAAAAGATCTCTAACTCCTATGAAATCGGCAAATCTTAGCTGTTTTTTAGTGATTTAATTATTTTTAATTAACATTCAGTTATCAGTTAGTAACCGCAATAATAACAACAACATGTACAGATAGATAAGGGCAAAATTATGCTGTTATTTTTTTTGAAATGTTAATTTTACTTAGTAATGAATATATTAAAGTGTTTATTTGAATATTCTATCCAATTTTGACTCAGTAAATGTACGGAAATTAGAAATTATATTACGAAATTATATGTCACTAACAGTGATAATACTGCTTAAAGCACTTTTTATGCAAGGAGTAATATCACATATCAGTTCCTCTAAAGAACAACTTGACTTGTTTTTTAGTAATTAGATATACTAATATAATTACTATATCCACAAAGTTGCGTTATCATACATTATTAAACTCATATTATTAACGTATAAGCAACGAATGTAATTTTGCAGGTTCTGGTATATGATGCTGAGAAAGGAGAAACAACAAGATTTTTTATTGAGGCCCTTAAAAGACAACTTGATGTCTTTGAGTTCCAAGATTTTCACGCTGCTAATGACGAAGAAAAGGATACTCTTTCTATCATTGCAGTTGTACGCCATATTTCAATACATATTATAGATATTATAAATGACGTAAAAGAACAATTTGTAAAAGGTATGCACAAAAATGGTATGCAAATATAATAAGTACATTAATTAGAATAATTACATTCATGCAAAAACACATATTCAAGAAAAAAAATTACTATTTAGTTTAGCTAAAAAAGAACCAATCAAGACGAATTAACACATATCAATCTTGATTTCATCATTTTAATTCAATGCATTTTTATCCCATAAAACAAATAAATAGCACTACATGGTTTCACACATATAAACGTTTTTTTTCAATCACAAATGGAGCTTCATTTTGAATTTCAATACTTTACAATATATTTTTAAAAAAATTTACTTTAAGATGACAACTTTAACAGATAACAGAATTCTTATTTTAAAATACATTATTTCATTTTTCTTCACAGACGATGTCCACGATCTTGAAAGAGTGTTCGTCACTTACTTTTACGTCAATAGATCAGACGAATATTGTATTCAAACTATTAAACAGATATCCGAGTCTGGACAGTTCAACTTTGCAAAAATAGTACCGATGAACTTCATCGACACGAGTCTTGTTCGCAAATTAAGCTTTTTCGGTAATTTCCTGAAATCGGATAACAAAGACTCGCTACATGAACTAAAAGGTTGTATACTATCGAGGAAAGTCAGAAAGGTAAGAAGAAGAACTTTCTAATGTTTATAACTAGATGATCGCAACTTTTGAACTTTGATATTGAATTAACTTAATTCATTTTCATAAGCCTCTCTAGTTATATATATATATATATATATATATATATATATATATATATATATATATTGTTAAATGTTTATTTCTTCTAGAAAGTGTGTGTCAACGTCTACGGCGCCATGGATTCGCTACAGATAAAAGATTTTATTGCGAAATTAAGTCAGGTCATTTCAAGCTCAATTTATTTACAAGCCACGAAGCCTTTAGAAGAAATGATCAATATAACATCGCCTACCCTGATTTGTACAACTGGGGATTTGGAGGAATGCCAGGAAAAACTCAAAGAGAAAGGTAGTTACTTTTGGATATTAATAAATGAATACATATTTATGGTCAACAATTATATAATTTTATATTATCGTTTATCTTCATAATATTTTTTTGAATGGCAACCCTTATGCCCCCGTTAAGATGTATACATGATTTATCCATACAACTGTCCGTCGGTCTGTCTGCTTTTGTTCAGTCTATCACTTTGTTGTTTCTAGTTAGATTATTAAATAACTTTACACAGATGTGTGGCTCAATGAGCAATGCTTCGCATATAAGATCCCGGTTCGTAGGTCAAAGATTACAAAAAGAACCTTTCGAAAAAATGCAATAATTGTTATGGTGTTGCTAAATGGATTTTAGTGTTTATATGTGTGAATACATAAGGACAAGATTGCAATGTGTCGTGTGTGCAAAGGTCTCAAGCATTAAAGGAAAGATAAAGAAATAAACAATGATATGAATTGTTCATACAAAAGCACTTGCAAACAACATGGCATAAATGTGACGTCTATTTTGATATAAGGTGTTCAAGTGTCGATTCATTGGTCATCAAAAGTTGTGATTGATCTGTCATATTAAGTCCATAAGTTTGTCATTCATTCGCAGATAAAATAGCAAGTTAACATAAATATGTGGTGCTTTTAATCAATAAGTGATTAGTGAGAACAAGTATTTTTACCTTCGTTCTAAGGCCGCATTCTATAGTTTCTATTGTTGATAAACTAACATCAAAGTTAAGTAAAATCTTCAATTCTGTCATTCAAAGACGGACCTTTCAATAACTGGAAATAAACATTTTGCATATTAATACGACTTACAAAGTATTGAACCGAGATGCCAAAATTAAGAAACTGAAGGTTTTGTATGGTCATATCTTTGTACATTGTATTTCATTCATAGAAATTTTATTAAATGGCAACCTGGGAATATAAGTAATTATTTGCTAGTGTTTATTTACTCATATATTACTGGGTCCATCGTCTGTTCATCCTTTGTTTCCAACGGAACCTGGATGATAAGGAAAATGATGATATGAGATAGAAACGCATCAAGACTGAATTCAAAACATGTCTATTTACAGACTTGAGGAAATGTTTCCTTGTCCACCTTATTGATGTTGGAATGAGATCCGAGATCTGTGTTATGCATGACAGCCCTTATGACATGGAAAATACATCAGTTATTCACGAGGAACAAAATCCCAGCTCTACGTTATCTGTTTGTGCCAGAAACAAAACCGCACAAAATGCCGAAAATATGCCTTGTGAAACGCATGAGATACTTTATAACAATGGAACATTTTATTGCAATGTATATTTTATAAAGCAATTTGAAAACTTTGTTGCAGATGGCCTGATAAAATAAAACCTTCATCTGAATAAGTTTTGGCATTTTAAGGATTGTACTTGTCTGATATAATGTATGTAATTAGTTATAGAAATTTTAGAGAGGTTAAACGCTTGTGTGTTAATATAACATGAGCCGCTTACTTGAGTGATTGGTGATTACCTTTGGTTATTGTGCCATTAAGTAAGTGCTGGTCAAATGACATACCTCGATTCTACATTGCAAACTACCAGTTATTCGATACAGAATATCGCTTGCTTTGAGTAAAATGCAATTATATGTATTTATTATAATGGATAATTGATAAAATACCCATAGAGTGTCAGATAGGGTAAAAAGTGTTTATAAGTTCAATTGTCAATATTAAACAGTCATCCACAGTTTAGCGTATTTATTTCAAAGAGTATAATTAAATTCACTGAAAATCATTTCGATTCACTTTTGCACTAGATTCTCCATTAAGCCTCTCCAAAACGTAGATTGAATATCTTAAACTTAAACCTTAGCTGATGGAAAATGTAACCGTTTACTTTATATGATTTTTGTTATTGTAATTGAAAACTTAGTTTTTTGATAATCTTTAGAACTTAGATCTTACCTTATTCGAGAGACATTTATTAGAAGTATTGCAAGTATATGTGACTAATCAACGCCAACATTGCCACGCATCCTTTCGTGTTTCCAGTGCGTTATAAAAGTCTATAGTCTCCCATGCATTGATCTCCACTTACAGGATTACATCTCTGCCTTCACAACATTTCGTCAAGATTTTTGGCAATATAATTGTTATCACAATTTTGATTTTAAAAAGTAAACACAGTTTTGATAATTTCTCAAGAGCGTATGGTGTTAGATATGAACTTGAATAAAAAATAATTGCGGAAACATAATTATTATGGAAATAATTTTCAATATCGCACCGTTTATTTCCAATGGTCGCTTTCGAAGGAAAAATCATTCAATTACTTAATAATGTCCATTGTACACTTTACAAAAATATTTTTTTTCTATCATATCGACAAACTGAACACCAGTGCTTAAGTTATAATGTCGCTAATTCTTACAATTAGTTAACGATCTCATTGGCATATCAGCTATCTTGACACAATTATGTGATAAGAACATCATCACGTGATTTGTGGTTACTGGTCGTAGCGTAACAGATGCACGGAGTTAGTAGTATGCGGTGTGCATAATTCTTATTACTTCAACTTAATGATAAGGCTCTAATTACACTTAAAAAGGTACCAATTATACACTGCAAAACACCAATGGAGATGAAAAAAGATAATTGATCATCACAAGCTGAGATTACAGAGTCATTTACGGAGTTGTCCGTTCTATTTCTTATGATTTTGATAAGTTTATGTGACCACATTTTTTTAGACTTAAAGAATATAAAGACTCATTAGTCCAACTTGTAGGACATAGAAAGGATAGCTGAGTGTTAACTCAATGGCATAGCAGTTGTGTTAATGGCTGTAGTTACAAACACAAATCAATTTATTGAGGACAATTTAACTATACCTACGTGACAATATATTAGATACCTGATTCTAATACAATGTCAAGCCATATAATTATACGTATTATATACATTTACAAAAACTATAATTCCATTTGCGCTGTAATAATATAAGTAATGTCATACTCTAACGACGAATCTTTAATATTTGTCAATATAAGGTGACTTTGTATAAATGCAGTTAGTCTGAATTCAAATGTATCTCATAATTGATGTCACTATAGTAGATAAATCTCTTATTTTAAATGTGCGTCATATGGTCCATTATCTACGGATATGTCCTGTATAATCACCTAATAACCTGATATTATCTTCTAACAATCTTGTTATTGATTGTTTTATCGAATTAGGCTATAGGTAATAGGCTTTAAGTAAAAGATCTCGATAAACGTAAGGTAACAGTTAGTCACATTAGAGTTAAAGTGTATCTAATTATGTGAAAGGTACGCCTAAAAGGGTAATAGTGTTTCAGTTAAATCATGACTAGGAGACGTTCTCTTCCTTGTCTTTGTTAGTAAAAATATGTTCAAATTAGGTTAAAGTATCTTAAAGTGGGTGATATTTAACTCCTTATCAGAAATAAGAGAGAAATTCACGCGAATACATGGTGAGCATAGGGATACTTCCAGTAGGCTGTTGGGTATTGGCACGAATAGTTTGGGATTCACGCGGTGGACATAGCGAGACCGGGAGTTTCAATGCTGAAGAACATATTTATATTAACCTAAATGTTTTTATGCGTGAGGGACGTATCTATACAGGAACGGTGATAAAATATTACTTCGATGTCTAAACTAAACTCCTATTGTCATAATAATACTTACTTATCTTTTGCAAAATGCTTTAGAATTATATAAAATTACTGTCGAATGAACCTAATAGATAGAACGAGATTACGCTCTTATTAAAATCTTGTTGTTAGGTATTGGAAAAGAACATTAAGGTGATGGAATATGCTAACTATATAGATAAGTTGTAGAGTCAGAATACCATTTTGTTTTAAACTGTCCAATATATGCTGATATAAGAAAATATTTACGTCAATGATCATACTATCCAAAAAATCAAGCAATTGATGTCGATCTCATAACAAAAATGTTAATACAATTTAGCAAAGTATATTAAGGTAGCCCCACATCTACGTAACTTTGTACTTGCTAGTTAATATGCTCTACGTTTATACTCATAGTTGTTTTTTTACTTTGTCTGTTACTTCCTGATATATGATATGTTTTTCTTTGTGACCATTTCTTTTGTATAATTATGTTTATTTTGTGTATACTGTCTTTCCCATAAGATGAATTTACCTGTATATTGTAGACTTGTTTCTGATTAAAAGAATTGAGAAGTAAACTGAACTGATTAACACTGATAAAAGATAGTTACATATTTATAATAAATTGTTTTCTTTCTACAAATATCAGACTTATTCATGCAGCTTACATAATAATTTAACATGCACTCGCACACACACGCACGCCCGCGCACGCGCAAACACACCTACAATTATAAGACATATAGTTTTTTTACCGTCGGTTAGTACTTTACTTTTCATAACGGGTTAACTTACATAAAATCTATGATCAAAGTAAGTGTTACATTATTATGTGCATTGTTAGGTAAAAACCCAAAACTTTTCGATTATAATATATTTTAGAGTTATTCCTTCTTCACCTCATCGGCATTATGTGAATGCAGTTGAGCCATACGTAGGAAAGATTTCAAGACAATCAATATTGGAATCGATTCTCTCCAGGAAAAGCGGTCCATTCCTTCAAAATTGACAAGTGGAAACACCTTTGGAGCAGGAATTTTTAGCTGCCTTTCTGTGTCGTCAACAGCCTTTTGAATTTTCTTACAGCGGAAAATTGAAGCGACACTATATTTAACATGTTCTGAGAGCAGGTCTGCCTTTGTGAGAACAGCTATTACAGGGATATCTGGAAAAAACAAACAAACAAAAGAAAACAAGTAGATTTTGCCTCTGTCAGAATATTTCACTCGATAACTAGCTTGATGAAATAATTAACCATATGCTTTTCAGCAAATTTAAAATGATTGTGTTTGTTGCCGCAGAAAGCAGTTTGATATCAGATATGTTTTTTTTATCATTCATAGCATTGTTAACGGCAAAATATTAAATGATGTTTTTTAATTTTTCACAGTTTTCATTGCCTGTTATAAAGTATGTAAAACTAACAACGGTGTCCATTGGAAATTAAATGCAATGTTTCTTTAATGGTTTATTGTCGTTAATCATCTAAACTATTTTCAGTATGATATATACTCAAATCATTTATGGTTTTCATGATCCTCCCCATGTTTAGTACATAGTTTGGTGGTAGTTCGTACGCCTGTGAACTATCGATGACAATTATAACACAATGTGTCCTGTCCGAAAATGTAGGTGATTGTCTAAAATGTTCGTCTTCAGGGGAAATACTTTTCTTTTGATCAAACTGAAATTTATGAAAGAAAGATTTGAAACCTTGGTTTTCATAAATATAATTTTCACCGTGATATCTTTGATAAAGATAGTTTACGCGACAAAATAATAAATATACTTCTCAGCTTTTGCTATGCAGCAATTTCTTCTTACGAGTATATTAGGGAAGTTATAAAATGATTTAATTACTTATGTTGGATAGTTTGACCTTATAATGTTTTGAAATGACCCGACCTAAATGCAAAATGTTTAATCGTAACGGTCTCGTCACGTAGACACTGACTGTTTGCACCCCTCGTTTTCTGCTTATTTGTAGGAATAGAGATATATGAGGGGCGTTCAATACATTCGTAGACAGTGCTTATAATTTTTTTGTTAGGCAGACATAATTCATAAAAATTACATGACCGGAAACGGCAATTTAATATACACTTGTACATGAACTTTCAACCGCTTATGAAGAACTGTCTGTATTTGACGGTACACAAGGCAATGACACCGACTTTCAGCGACCCAGGTCACGATTGTGTTTCCCAACGTCAGCGACGTCACTGACGTTACTTCCATTTTTGACGTGTCATGCATCTCTCATAAAGAAATTTAGTTTAATTAGTGTTATTATTTAAAAAACGTGCAATAAGATAAAATAACCGTATTAAAATAAAATAAAATAATAGATCTAATATAAACAAGAAATTAAATAAGAATATACAAAAATCTAAAAATAAGTGGGTTTTTTAAAACTTTTTATACGCTTTAGACATCCAGCGGTTTATTAAATTTTAATCGTTTCCCTGTAATACAAACATTAATTTATGTAAAGACTTTACCTTTCGCATCTTTAAAGCATTTAAAAGAATATTATGTACGGTGTCTACACTCAAATCGGCAATCTCTGACAACACCCTAACTGTCACACGGCGATCAAATTCTAACGCAGCCTTAATTGATATGTGTTTCATTAACGTGCTTCCCTGATCTTGTGTTGTTCTGAATACTATATATCGATCTTCAGATAAACATTTATGCCATTTAAAAACAAGCGCACGACTAACAGATGTCTTCCCTCAATTTTTTGCGGCATTTTATAAGTGTCCGTCGGTGATTTCCCAAGATAATTGTTAAATTTTAAGATTGCCCTGGTTTCGAGCTTTTCTTGTGACAACATTTCTGACGTAAATTTTGTTGATGCTCTCACAGTGTAAATGTTATTTTTTCAAACTACAACGTCCAAATAACGTATTATTTTCATACATTACTTTCCCGGATTTTTAAGTGTTTATCTCACTAAGAGAGTAGTATGTTTACACGCTTGATAATAAGTCCATTACGAAAATTCGGACGCTGGCGCATTTAATGCGCCATGATTATGAAAATCGCTGTCAGTCTTAAAGTTGCGTAATTATCAAAATTAA